ATGTTGAAATACATTTGGGGCAAGGCCAATGTGCCATACCTACAGAGTTGAGTGGAGAATGTTGCTCAGAAGAGGGTTGGCAGGCTGATTCCTATTCAGCTGAAAGGCCCTTACTGCTTTGTTAACTTGGAGCAGTGAGTGAATTGTTGGGCAGGAGTGACTTGTGATGGTAGACACAGAAAAGGATGGAAAAACTAAGTTGTCTCAGCTCATTCCTCCCTTGCTCTTCCTCACTAATGCAAATTTGCCCCCCACACTGTATACAGTCTTCATGGTCATGTTCTCATTTGCCAGTGCTTTTTGTTTAGTCCAGTTCTAAATGCCCCGGACAATGAAACATTAATCACTTTCACTGGGAGACTATTCCACAGGCTAATAGACTTAGCTGTTAAGAAATTGTTCTTGATGTCCAGCTGAAATGTTCCCTTTGTTTAATTTCATCTCCGTTTTAGTTCCCCACCCTACCCTGGACTATCCTAAATAGGCTTCTTGTGAGGAGACAATCTTCCAGTACCAGGTTGCCTAAACTTCAGTTAGTATCTGAGCCTAGCCAACCCAACAGCTTCCTGCATGAGCTACAGGAGGAAGTCCAATAGCAAGTAGGATGGCTTTTTTGAGTAGGATGACTCTTGTGGTAGGGCAGGAAGGTAGCTGTTTGACGCTGGACATGAAATACTGAGCTGTCAGATTGGCATCTTTTTTTTTTCTTTCCTACAGGATGAAAAATATTGGACAAGGCGAAAGAAGAACAACGTGGCAGCAAAGCGTTCCCGCGATGCTCGGCGACTGAAAGAGAATCAGATCACAATCCGAGCAGCCTTCTTGGAGAAGGAGAACACTGCCCTCAGGACAGAGGTGGCAGAGCTGCGCAAGGAAGTGGGGAAATGCAAGAACATTGTCTCTAAATATGAGACCAGATACGGACCCTTGTAAGCACACTTTCTTTCCTTGCTAGGGCTCCTTGTTTAGCTCTTGGACTTCTCTGCCTTCTGTAGAGACTCCCAGAAATAACGTGTGGAGGCTTTGTCATTGTGCATCTATAACAAAGATCTGCTTCTGATGGCACAACTTGGTCAGGTCCTTTCCTGACCTTTGTGGTGCCAGAATCTAGGTTGTGTCCATCTTTACAGTTTTTTGTTAACACTGCTAGAGCAGTTGGTGATGCTAATCTAAGAGAATGGATTCATCCAGGGGAATAAAAGTGAATCTGATTAGATTGTTGGACAAGGCTTTTGCTTTCTGTTCTAATCTCCATTTTAAATGGAAAGAGAGCGGGCTGAAGTGCAAAAGTCTCCTGTCCGTTCGTTCGTGTTTTCTCTCTCTCTTGCTTTTAAAACCTAGTTTTATAATTTGGGTGCTGCGGGACAGCATCATAAAAAAAGTTCCTTTCCCAGTTCCTAGATATTGGAACGTAGCTGATCAGCACCCGTTGTGCGGGGCTCTGTGCTCCTGTTCAGGAGGAACAGGGAAACCACCTAGGCCTGCCAACTGTCTGTCTTCTGCAGAGGTGAAGATAACATTCTGATGAATATGCATTTGTGTAAACCAGAGTGCAGTGAAAACATTTTTCTAAACAATACTTGTACATTTTTCTTTGGCTAGCTCCCAGAACCATAGGATGAGGTGCAGGGCAGAGAGCCCCATACTTCTCCTTTACTAATGTGAGGTAACGCTTTTTGAGTTCACAGCAATGGATTTTAGGGAGTGCATCGCTCTCTTCTTCCTTTTCCCTAATACAGTTAGGGGACTTCTTTTCTTGAACAACTAATTATGCAGCACGTGACTCTTCATTCAGAAGTGAAGGAGAAGGGCACCACCAAACCTTGAGTCATTCACCTGTGGCCTCATCAGATCAAACCTCAGGTCCATCTCGTTTGGGAATCACCAGCACTTTGTGTTTTGGGCGGGGGGGAACAAACCCAAACCACCACTCTAATGCATCTTCCCAGTTGTACAAGTGTTGGTGGGGGATTTCTTCTGCACCCCTGTAAGTGTTACTTGGTCCTTTTGAGTAAGCTGGGGAGCAGCCACACCCAGTCTAAACACGAAGAACTTCTCTCACAACCTCTTTGGGTGGCAGTCTCTCCATGCCAGCTGGTTTTCTCTCAAGCACATGACTTACCCTCTTGGTGCTGAGAATGGATTACTTCCCAGCGCTGCTCCTACAATAAATGGTGCTAAAGAAAAATGCGTTTTTGTGTAATGTTGGAGGCCTCCTCCACCTGCAAGAATGGAGAGCTTTAGTAAGATGTCTGGTACACATGTAGACAGTCATTGTCATATGTATTTTATCCCAGGTTTATGGCAGTGAATATGTTAGAACTGGTGGGGTTAGATGTCTGGGGATGGTGTTTGTATTTGGGAGCAAGAGGAGTGTGGGAGATAAAAAAAATTTTAGGATAGATCTGAGTGAAGGAATTAGAAACTTATAAGAGCATGTCGAAGTTATGAGGTTTCTTTTTCTGTAACAGAGATTTTGACTAGCTCAGCTTTGCGAGCTCAATGTGAGAATAACGCAGCCTTTCTAAATTCATATGTTAGCTCCCTAATGGAGTGGGGAAGGAGGCTAATCCAGCATGATGGAAGTAAATCTGTACAGGAGCTGTTTTTCCCCTGCATTATTACCTGCTTGTCTGGGCTGAGCTGTTTTTTTGTGCAGCGCCAGTCTGATAGAATCCCACACCACTGGGGTTTTTTCTTTCACAGAGTGGTATGTAGCGGTGATAGGAGGAGTATATTGTAAGTAAATTGTCACACTTACTGCTTTGCTTTATTTAAAGTGACTTATCTGATTCCGAGTGATGCAACTTTAAAGACTTCTAAAAACAAAGAAACTAAAAAGCACACATGAAACCATCTGTCTTCAGAGTGAGCAGTGAGATGTGTGAGAGGTATCCAACACAAACAACTGACGGGGACCCTGCCTGCAAGTACCCCATCTGAACTGCCCGGGGGCTGGCATGATGAAAAGTGCAAGGTCTTCTTAATGCTGTGTATGGCTTTCTTATCTCTTTTTTTTTGTACTAATGTTTGTCTTCTCTCTGTAATCAAACTACAGTAATGTTACTTATTGACACTTGTCAATGACACTCACAGCTCATGTCTTTCAGTCCAATCTGTTGATGATTTGTGTGAATGGTGACTCTGTTTTGATACTTGAATGAAATGGGAGAAAGGGGGATTCTAACTTAAAATGGCTTAAATGATATTGTCACCGATTTTTGGGGTTAGGGGGCAGTGGAATAGGTTTTAGCTACTGCTGCAGCTGGATTCTGACAAGCGTAGCATCTTGAGGTACTGCTCGGGGTGCTGAACTAGAGGCATCCAGGGAAAATAGTCTAGGTGTGCAAGAAAATGTAACAGATTTGTTGAAGTAAACTAAAAAGCACCGTCGAGTGTGCTATACAAAGGGTAACAAATAAATCCTGTTATATACCCCAGATGACAAACACAGCTCCTCAACTACTTCCTCCCCTGATATGTACACTGTGGGGAGCCCACCCCCTTCACCTTTTACTTTTAAGGGGCTCTTTGTATCCCAGTAAAACAAATTACATCCATTTTCCTGTCTGTCGCACCAAAATAGGGGAGAGGTGTGTACCTGTGAGCTGCTGAGCCCTGTATTTTGCTGCAAGCCAGACCAGTCAATCTGTATTGAAGCCCAGGGGAACAGTGGCTAGCAGCTACTATGCTCTGCATCCTTCTCTTTTTTTCCTACTGCACTCTAATTCCCCAAGCACCTCGGAGAGTACGGCGTACATCTGTCTCATGGACCCAAAATATCCAGCAATGCCATTGTCATAATGGAACAGCTTTAAAAACAAAGACCCTGGGCATGTATGGAGGTAGATGAGGCACTTAGAGAGCATTGCAGGGATGTTGGCCCTGTGTAGAAAAGGGAGGCTGTCCATGGAAGGAAAGGTGCCATCAATACCGCAAAAGAATCCTAACCGGACATCATAACCAAATCTCTAGGTGAAAGAACAAATGGAATGGCTTATTTCCAGTAAAATATTGTAGGGCAGCACTTGTATCCAAGGTTCTGTCAATAACATAGAAATGAAGAGAGGAGGTTTTCTATGTGTCTATATGACAAACTCTCTGCCAGGTGGCTGATTAATGGCAGACACCTGGTTGATAAAGTGCTCTTGAAAGCCTGCAAAAGGAAAAGGGCCTAAGTGGGAGGCTCAGAATCCATTACAACTGAAACTTATGAAGTATGGTTTAATACTGTACAAATACTGTGTCTTCATCTTCCCCAGAGGGATCCTGCCCTCAGAACTTCTTAGTAGGAAGGAGAAGAGGAAAGGGAGCAATGGGGAGAAGCAGACTGCTGCAAACTTTCTTTAAACAAAGTTGTAACCAATTAATTTTTCAGTGTAACTTGGCAACGATGAATGGGCTTTATCCATCAAGTGCACTGCTTGATCTAGTCTTGCAAGTGGACCATGTTTTCAGTGTTAAAGAACATGCTTTAACTTTTTTTCCTAACCAGTAAGAAATGTTATCAATATGTATATAATAAGATTCCAGGATTGTCACTCTGAAGCCTATTATGTCTGTAGAGTCAATGTGAAGCGATGGAAACAGCTACACAGGTAGTTGAGAGCTCTTTTTGTTCTGAATATCACCAGGTGCAGTCATCGCTGTGACTTGTGATCTGTTACTGTCATAAGTTCACAGCCATTTTTGGCTTTTTTGCACACACAACTTTACAGATTACATCCATGGAACAAGACAACTAGTACTTTTATAAGTTGGAACTCTTAAGATTCGCTAGGATAGTACATGACAGTTTCCAAATATCTGCGAATGGGTTACTATTCCAGCATCAAATTCCTAAAATGTCAAGGATATGTTACCACCTGTCTAAAGTGCTGCAGGCTTACACCTTGTACTGCAGATCTGAACAACCTTCTTTTTTTAGTTTAAGGGCCTTGATTTTAAAGATGTTGAATGCATGTAAATATATTAACATCTTCTAGCATATATTTCCAATTCCTTAGCTCTGAATTATTGTTTTTCAAAGCCATGTTAACCATTTGAGGAGAGGTGCTACTAACTGTGCCAGGTACATCTTAAGGTAGCAGGTGCCGAGGAGGTCCAGCAGCTCCAGGCTTTAGGAATATTGTAAAAGTACAATTGTGGCAAAAATATTTTGTGTAGACAGCAGGAGATCAGTGCTGCTGTGGAACTTCAGATCTGCAGAGCTCCTAAACTTTACAGAACTGAAGCTCCTGGTTATCAAAAGTCCTGACTTTACAAAGTGTTTAGTTATCTCAAAGCTTTGTAAAACAGGGTGTGTCTGTGTGGCTTTCTCCTGGCTGTGGTGGGTGAGCCCAAGACAAAGGGCAGATGCAGAGGTGACCTGACCCATTAACTTCATATTGTACAGTAACCTAGATCTAAATATTTACTGAGGAAAGAACATTTATTTTAGTATTTTTTTTTATTATTTTTTTTTAATGGCTTTTCCCCTCACAGAAATACAAAATCTTGACCAGCTTTGTTGGTCTTAAGTAATTCTTCTGTTGTGCATCTACTAAAACCACTACTAAAAGTTGGGGGAAGGGACAACAAAGCTAATAAAGTTCCTTGGAGATCGTCAGTATTTTTAGCCGGATGGTTCATTATTTTTTATTGTGTGGCTTTTTTAGAATACAAACATTTAAAGTTCAGGCAGTCACAATGGAGTGGAGAGCTGTGAGGGAGGTAAAAAAGTAAGCGCAGGATAAAGAGGAGTGGAAAAACCAAAAGATAAGATTAAGGCAAAATACTAGCCTGAGCCAGAATGCTGAAACTGAGGCCGACCTGCTTCTAATTTGGGGGCAGTTCAGATCCAGATCTCAACCCCACAGCTTGGGCTCTTACCCAAGATGTTTACTTTTTTAAGTGATGGGCGCCTCCTTTTCTTCGCCATATTTTTTATGGCCTGAGATAGAGCATGAAGGTGAAAAGAACTTGGGAGAGTGAGGGAAGGTGCTATTATTTCTAACTACAGTAGTTATATTAATGTACTCACTATATGTCCATTAAATTAAGGCACTTGATTCTGACTTGCAGATGGCAGTAGTACTGCACTTTGCTCATGTGGTGGCCTGAATTGCTTGACAGAGCTGCATCCATATGTGCAGCTGAGGGTGAGGTGAGGATTTGTTTACTTACCTAAATGGAATAGCAGGTAGCTGGTATCTATCTTCTAGAGCAGCGATGATGTATCTGTTTGCTACTGGTCAGGATAATGGAAGGATTAATCTTCTACACTCATGTGATTTATTGGAATATTGTATTTTGTATAACTTAGAACATGTAAATACACTTTTAAAATTAATCGTCCTATGAAGTAATAAATAGCGCTTCCATTGTAACACCTGAAAATTGTTAAAAGTGCTTCATGTCGCATGACTTGGGATTTTTTTTCCTAGAGAACTGCAGAAAGCAAAGTGAGATTGATGTTGTGGAGTTTTAATTTAATTGTGATGCTTCCTGGTAACAAAAATATTTAAAAATAATAAACCACCCAAGCCAAGAAACTTCATTTAATTTTTTTACAGTAGTCACTTAGGTGACATTCATCACTGTACTCAGACAATCCCATTTTCTGGATAGTCAGTTTTGTTGTTGGCCAGTAACATTTGGAAAGCACTCCTATTGGTCAGTTTCATAAAAAGCACTGTGCGAGTCCAGAAAAACAGTAACGTGTTTTTTAAATTGGTTGTGGCTTAAATGTAGCCCTCTAATGTAGCCCTCTAACCAGACTTCAATGTCGTTGACTGTTACTGCAACTCATTCATAACATAAGTAGAATAAACCTTCATCAGTCATGTTGTGTACACACAAATATACGGTTATCCTACTCGCACACCTTTTGGTGCGTGAAGAGATCCATTGACTAAAGACTTGAGTTTTCAAGTATCAGAGGGGTAGCCGTGTTAGTCTAAATCTTTAAAAAGCAACAGAGGGTCCTGTGGCTAACCTTCTGTTAGTCTTAAAGGTGCCACAGGACCCTCTGAGTTTTCAGTGCATTTTCACTGGATACTGCACAGATGGAACTTTCAGCAGCCAGTCAAATTCTTCTTTTTGTGTCAATTTTAGACTAGAGGAAAACAAAATTAATGGTTGAGAATCATGGTCAATGTGTTAGGAAGTAACTTGTCCTTGTCCTTCAAACTTTATCTAGCACTGGGGCCCACAGCCCTGTGATAAAACCTTCCCCCTGACATATCTTCAGCTCACTGACTTTAACTGATGTACAGCAGTGGCCTCCACTCCAGTATCTGCTGCTGCAGCATTCCATTGAAATAACAATGGAAAATTACACATTTTTCATAGTGGGCAGAAATGGTGGTACATTTTTGTATTATGTTCCCAAGCTGTTAAGTACCTGTGAAGCAGCTAAGTTATGTGCAAGTTATTCACTGGAGTTCTGCTCCTGTCAAGCTTTTTTGGAGAAGAGGAGAGCGTCTGTTTTGATCTCATTAGTGTTTCTGGAAGAATCTCGTTTGGTGTGTTTTTGGTTTACACTACATTTTATTGCCAGAAGCAAGAGAATTTTGAAGTGTCCTTTATTTGGATCTGCAGATGACACCACTCTATCCCACTAAATAAGGAAAAATTTGACTGCAGAATGTTTTATTAACTGCAAAATATTTTAATATATAGTTTTGCTTTGTGTCATTAAACAATTGCTGTGTTTCACCTCTTGGGTGTCTCTGTTTTTGAGGAAGGCAAAGTAATTCCTGTATATAGTTTTGTAAGTCAGTCTGTAAAATGCTTTTCGGATCATTCTGGATGAAAGGCCCTATAGAAATGTAAAATTGCTACTATTTACCAGATACGATCATGTTTGTGAAATAGGTGGGTAAAGTTGTCTATTACCATAAATAATCTAGCTTCGCTATTAATCCTGTA